GTTGGCCGCTTTGGTTCAACTTCCCTGGGTTGGCTCGTCATGGTTTAGTCTCCCTGGCTTGCCAGAGTCATGCAAGCAGGATAAAAAATGTGCATTCCAATGCCTCATATAACTATGTTTTTTTCAAGAATAATTTTTCATTACTACAAAATATAAAAAAATAATAAAATTAATTTTCTCAAGAAAGCTAATACTAAAATTTTAAATTATTATACCGGAGAATAATATTTAAATTTTAATTGTGGCTCATATGTTTATTTAGATATTCAATTTCCAGAAGTCTCTATACCATTCACAGGGCCACAGGCGAAGCGCCTCTAAAACCCTAGAAACCCTGCGTGCTGTTACACTGATCGGAGTCGGAGATGGCAACAGCTGCGTTGATCCGGAACTTTAGGCGGCGAGAGCTGTCGTCTCCTCTGATTTCTCATCTCAGATCGGTAAGCTCACGTCTCTATACCTCTTTTCTGCTTACGATTGTCCAGTTCCTGTATAATTTTTGTTTCCTTTATTTCCTTGCAGTAGATTTAGCTTCTGTGCTTTGTATCTGATTGTAGATTGTTTTATTGTTTTTGATTGTTTGATCAATGATTCTCTTTGTGGATGCTGCGGTTGTGATCATATTCGATGTTTAATATCTTTAGTTATTTTATTTTTTGATGAAGGCTGACAAAATTTACGTTTAGATAGGTTCTATAATTTTTGTTTCCTTTATTTCCTTGCAGTAGATATAGCTTCTGTGCTTTGTATCTGATTGTAGATTTTTTTATTGTTTTTGATTGTTCGATCAATGTTTCTCTTTGTGGATGCTGCGCTTGTGATCATATTCGATGTTTAATATGTTTAGTTATTTTATTTTTTGATGAAGGCTGAGAAAATTTACGTTTAGATAGGTTTTCTTTCGAGCTGGTCATGGAACTTTTGGGTTCATTGGCACCCTTCTTGCATAGCATGCTATGCAGACATTTTGCTATGACTGATGCATTAGAAGCAATTACAAGATTTGGACATGTAATTGTAGTTATGGGAGAAATTTGTTGAGGCGTGTTAGTGGCTGGAATTTTCTTAGGAATAGAGATTTATATATATTGAAATGTGTTTTATGCATAAGGCACAAATGGAATTAATCTTCTTTTAGTTTGATACGTTAAAAAAGCACTGATTTCTGTTTCTCAAGGGCATGAAATTTATTTGGGTTGATGTGTATTCGTTAGTTTCAATTTTATTATCTGCAAATTAGACAAAAGATTGGTGTGGATGTGGGAGTTTTTACTGAAGTTTGCATTTTTAGAATCGTCCTTGAAAAAAATTATGTTTTTTTTTTGTTTGTTTGTTAAGGAATTGTAACTGTGGAATGTTTGCCAAAATACATATGCTCTATGAGTGATTTATATAGGAAAAAATGGGGGATGCGTCTTCTTGGTGAAATAAACACTCGAAGGGAATAATGTAAACGATATATTAAATTTTTTGTCTACCAGGCTGATGAAACAACACGTTTGTGCAGGTTGTAGTAAATGCGAATACAATGAAAGTCTTTCCATGATAATGTTGTAAATACAAATTCAAATGATTTTTATAATTGCTTTTGATATATTTTCATTTACCGTCCCTTGCATTTTATGATAACAAGACTAACGCACCATTCATTACCTACAAATTGATAATGTTTACCATATGTTAAACATCATTAAAAATGCTACATAAAATTGTCCATAAACAATTCTAAAATATTCACATTTGGTTTCTAGACATGAATTCGTTACATGATGTTATAAAATCATCGATTGTACTTATATCATGACAATTTTAAAATATGCGGTACCAAAGCATGTAATACTCGGCATTGCCATGATAAAAATTCCCAGATGAACATGTATAAGGTGTAAGATCAATAGAATATTTATCCATATTACAATGCCGTACTTATGTCGGGCCCTGTCAATCTCTCTGTTCCATATTTCGGTCTTGTTAATCTCATCGACACCATGAATTTATATATTTGAACCCAATCTACACATCTTTAGCCATGTATTTATTTTGTCTTATTTTTTGGAAAATTGGTTGGAAATTCGGTCTCGTTAATGTATTTGTGTCAGGGGTGGAACCAGATTATGTCCCTAGCATACAATCGCCCACCTTGGAATTTGAGATTTCTCTATTTATAAGTAGTAAAATTTAATATTTTTTTATACAGTTCACGTAATTTAGTAGCTTTTTTTGGCAATACTTGAGAAAAATCAAACATGTTGTGATTTTGCCCACCCAAAAAATTGAAGTTGGTTCTGCTCCAGATCTGTGTGCTAATTACCCATTTAGTGTTGCTTTTATACGTATGCTGTTGCATTTTTATGGCAAGTTTTTGACGCGAAGTCATGCCTTTTAGTTTGTATTACCAATTAATGTGGCATTTTTGCTGTTTTGTAAATTTCAGTTCCATTCCATATCTTTTAAATATTGCTAGAGTAGTGTTGATAGGAATGTTGGTGCTTTAGAATAAGGTTATCTTGAAACTATTTTACTCCAATTAGTATTTTGCTTTCAGCTGTTTCAATTTTAGGAATAACATCATTGGTGAGCTGATCATGTTTTTTACACAGTTTTCTGGAATCACCAAGCCAACTTGGATTAGTTCTCCTTCCAGCAGCAGATGGGCAAGTTTTGCTAGACCATTCAGGTTGTTTACAAACTCCTTTATAGATTGTCATATCCAATGAAACTACACAAGATCCCCTCTCAATAAACCACTTTCTGTTTTCGTGTTTCCTATTCAGCTCAAAGCCTGCTGGGAATGATGTAATTGGGATTGATTTGGGAACGACCAACTCTTGTGTGGCTGTCATGGAGGGCAAGGTTGGCCTTTTACATGCTTATTCAGAGTGATATATTTATGGAGAAAAGTGTCAAAATAGCCCCCTGACTCGTTACAAGCGGTTATTTTAATCTCAAATTCTATAAAGTTTCAATTTAGGCTCGGGCTCTTTTAATACAGGCTGAAATACTCTAAATGGAGGACCAATTCAGCTCCAATTTAAAGTGGGGACTAATTTGACACTTTTATTAACTCTTGGACTAAAACAACCTGATTTAGGGCAACTTTTGTCATTTAACTCTATATTGATGTTATCTAAACTCTACCCTTTCAATATTTGCCTGTTGCAGAATCCAAAAGTCATTGAGAACTCTGAAGGAGCACGTACCACACCTTCAGTCGTCGCTTTCAATCAAAAGGGCGAACTTCTTGTCGGAACTCCTGCAAAGCGACAGGCCGTGACCAATCCGTTAAACACAGTTTTTGGAACCAAACGATTGATTGGCCGCCGTTTTGACGACCCTCAAACTCAGAAAGAGATGAAGATGGTTCCTTATAAGATTGTTAAAGCTCCCAATGGCGATGCTTGGGTCGAGGTTAATGGACAACAGTATTCCCCCAGTCAGATTGGCGCCTTCATTTTGACGAAGATGAAAGAAACTGCCGAAGCTTACCTTGGAAAATCAGTTTCAAAGGCCGTGATAACTGTTCCCGCTTATTTCAATGATGCTCAGCGGCAGGCGACGAAGGATGCCGGGAGAATCGCCGGCCTTGATGTCCAGAGGATCATCAATGAACCAACTGCTGCTGCTCTTTCTTATGGGATGAATAACAAGGAGGGTCTCATTGCCGTTTTTGATCTCGGAGGTGGAACTTTCGATATTTCTATATTAGAAATTTCAAATGGCGTGTTTGAGGTTTGTTTTTCTCAACGGCTGTTCGGGATCACTTCTATTTTTTGTTTGTTATTTTTCAATTTTATTTTGTTTTACTTATGTTTTTTTGAAATAGAATATGTTTGGTTGCAATGCTGATTTTTGAAACACTTAAAACACACAAAAGTTGTTTTGAGCGTTGGAAAGTCAAATTGATCTTTTAGAAAAAAATGGAAAATAAAAACATGTAAAAATAAAATTTTTATGCTCTTAGCGCGAATATGGAACTTTATCGATGGGAGGGTGATATAAGTTTCTCCATTGCATGCCATTTTCAGGTTAAGGCTACAAATGGCGACACCTTTTTAGGAGGAGAAGATTTTGATAATGCATTGTTAGAGTTCTTGGTTAGCGAGTTCAAGAGAACGGAGGGGATTGATCTCGCACAGGACAGGTTAGCCTTACAAAGGCTTCGTGAAGCTGCTGAGAAGGCCAAGATTGAACTTTCTTCAACGTCGCAGACTGACATTAACCTCCCCTTCATAACAGCTGATGCATCAGGAGCGAAGCATCTTAATATTACTCTGACAAGATCTAAATTTGAGTCCTTGGTCAATAGTTTGATAGAGAGGACTAGAAATCCATGTAAAAGCTGTTTGAAGGATGCAGGAATAGCTTCTAAAGATGTAGATGAGGTTCTTCTCGTGGGAGGTATGACTCGAGTGCCTAAAATCCAGGAAATAGTTCAGGAGATCTTTGGGAAGGTACCAAGCAAAGGTGTAAATCCTGATGAAGCTGTTGCATTGGGAGCCGCCATTCAAGGTGGGATTCTCAGAGGAGATGTGAAGGAATTACTTCTCTTGGATGTGACTCCGTTATCTCTTGGAATTGAGACTCTTGGTGGTATTTTTACCAGATTGATCAACAGGAACACTACCATTCCTACAAAGAAGAGTCAGGTGAGTTCGCACTTTTTTGCTTTTCTAATAGGAAAAATTATATATACATCACTTAATTCCTACGTTTTTACAAATTTACATTGTCTATGCATTAAGAAGGTGTATTTCACGTTATAAAAGTTTGCGTGATATGAAAGATTTGGGCGGTGTAAATTTAAAAGGCAAAATTTTGGTGTTAGATATATAATTACATAAGAATTTGGAGGTATGTATGTAAATGCCCTTTTATAATATTAAAGTTTTGGACGCTCTTTAACAGGTATTTGAGCTACTGGACTCCTTTATGATTCCTCTTTGTTTTTTTAGTTCAAATCTTTCTAGTTTCTAGCCAGCACTAAAGACGCTCATCTCAAATTCCAGACCTTTTTTGTTCTTGCAGTATTTTTTTGTGATTCGAGAGACATTCCAATCATTATTTATGTTGTTTCTTTCTTTTTTGCATTTTATCATAATTAGGCCCGTTATATTATATGGATCTACACATTGAGTGTAAAAAAGCCATTGATATTAAATCTAAATATGATAAAAATGAGATTGTTTAGATGGATGTTTGATAAAAGTGTGAAGGATAAATTACTGCAGAATTATACTATAAGAAATAATGGAGTGATATCTATTGAGGATAAGGTGATTGTAAATATACTTATAGTTAGTGTATTTACAATGATATATTATAGATTGTAAATATTACATGCTTGACGAAGAGTAGAAAATGCACCCATTTGATGAGTTGATAAAGTTAGTGTGAGAAGATTATTAAAAATGTTTTACTAACAATTGGTTTAACATCTTGGACAATAATCAGTAACGAATAATGAATGAATATTAAGAATTAATTACATTGATCTTAAATAGTTGGGATAAGGTAATGATATTGAACAACTGTTAAAACTAAATTATGCTAGAAGCTGAATTTTTTCTATTTATTTCCTTTTCATAATTTTGATTAGGGGAATTTAGATACATAGCACACAACTCTTATGTATTTACATATGTCACATCTAAGCTTTAGTATCTTCACACAGCACTCAAGTTTTTAATATCACATTATAGAAAGCACTAGAATTATGTATGTAAATATGAAAGCTGAGGGTGTGAGATATGTAAAAAAATTGTATCTACTTTTGTAAATTTCCCTTCTGTGGGCATTCACGAGATGCGTACAACATGGTTGCATGCTTCACAATCTTTGGTTTCAATTATATATTTTGGTCTGGCATTTCATAGCATTTTATACTCAAAAACACTAAATCTTTCTTCTGTTGTCTTGGACAAAATAACTTTTTTTTCTGGACAAGTCTGGCTGGTTTTTTAACACGTTAATGTACTGGATTTTACCCGAGTAAAGTTTAATAAGGACGTCCTGAATAGTTTCGTTTCAGTTTTTTATCTGCTGTTTGGCAGATTAAATTAGCTATTCCGTGTTTTAAGCTGATAGCACTAGAGTTCTTTCTGTTCATATCTTTCATTTGGAAGATTTACATAGGTAGCACTCAATTCTTATGTATTTTCATATATAACGCCTAGGGATGTAAACGAGCCGAACACGAGCGAGCCCGGGCTCAACTCGTGTTCAGCTCATTAAAAAATATCATTGTTTGTGCTTGCCTCGTTTATATTTCGAACACAAAAAATTTGCTCGTGTTCGGCTCGTTTGCTTAATGAGCCGAACAGGAGCTGTTTGCGAACAAAAAACTTTTTTTACGTAGTCATGCATGCATTTGTTAGGGGTGTAAACGCGTTGAGCTTGAGGGAGTCCAGACACGACTTGTTAAAAAATATCATTTTTTGTGTTCAGCTCGTTTATATATCAAGCTCAAAAAATGTGTTCGTATTTGGCTTATTTGCTTATTAAGCCGAGCACGAGCTGTTCATGAACAATGAACTATTTTGATAACCCTAGTCACCCAATCTTAGAATATTTATTTAAATATAATTTAATATATTTTTATTCTATTTTTAATTAGTAATTTTAATTGATTATAAAACTTTGTAGCCTTGTAGTCAATTAAATTATTTAAAAATAATACTCATTAGGCTCGTTTGCTTAGCGAACAAATCAAACGAGCTACTTAACGTGTTGAACACGAGTTGTTCGCAGACAAAAAGCCTTTTTGACAGCCCTAATAACGCCTAAACTTCAACTTTTGCATACGTGCTACCTCACCTATGCTTTAAAAGGTCTTTCACTTTTTTTTTAAAGGTAACATAGTGGTACTTCTGATGTGTGATATGAAAGATTTGGGTGGCACAAATATATAAAATGTATAAAGCAAAGTATAGGTGTTAGATATGTAAATATGTAAGAACTCGCTGGTATGTATGTAAATGCCCTCTTTCATTTTTCTCTTGTTCAATGAATACAATCAATTTTTTGCTCTATATATGCCTGATTTTATTTTTTTACCTGGCCATTTTTGTCTGCACATTCCATTGAGCTACAAATTCCTGCTTGTCATTGATCGAAGTACTCTTTTCATCTTATATTCATCTCAGGTGTTCTCCACTGCAGCTGACAATCAGACCCAGGTAGGTGTCCGTGTCCTCCAGGGCGAGCGTGAGATGGCTTCCGACAACAAACTCCTTGGCGAATTCGAGCTTGTTGGCATTCCTCCAGCACCGCGAGGCTTGCCCCAGATCGAGGTGACGTTCGACATCGATGCAAATGGAATTGTAACCGTCTCAGCCAAAGATAAGGCGACCGGAAAGGAGCAGCAGATCACCATTCGGTCCTCCGGCGGCCTTTCGGAAGACGAGATTGAGAAGATGGTTAAGGAGGCCGAGTTGCACTCACAGAAAGATAAGGAGCGAAAATCCCTCATCGACCTCAGGAACAGCGCCGACACGACTATTTACAGCATCGAGAAGAGTCTGAGCGAGTACAGGGATAAGATCCCGGCCGAGGTTGCATCTGAGATCGAGTCATCCGTGGCTGAGCTTCGTCAGGCGATCGCCGGAATCCCTCATCGACCTCAGGAACAGCGCCGACACGACCATTTACAGCATCGAGAAGAGTTTGAGTGAGTACAGGGATAAGATCCCGGCCGAGGTTGCATCAGAGATCGAGTCATCCGTGTCTGAGCTTCGTCAGGCGATCGCCGGTGATGATATCGATCACATCAAAGCAAAGCTCGATGCCGCCAACAAGGCGGTTTCGAAGATCGGACAGCACATGTCCGGAGGAGCAGCCAGTGGTTCTCAGGGTGGTGGTGATCAACAACCTCCAGAGGCAGAATACGAGGAGGTGAAAAAGTAAGGTTTTTAAGGGTGGATCCAAGTTTTAATTCTCTCTTTTTTTTTTCCCCGCGTAATTAATTTCATAGCACTTAACTGTTTTGCTTAGAATGTTAGATCCAATATTTGTGCAATTTGCTTAATTATCCTTTGCAGTTGGCAAATGTTCATATAAACTTGTTGTGGTTGCTGCCTTAGCACGGCATTTTATGACTCTCATCTGAGTTTTTATTTTATTTATATATGTGTAACACTGCTTTGGATATGGCTCCTGCTAAATAATCCATGTCCCCTTCTATATGCAAATTTGTTTTATTTGTGATGATTTGCTAAATAATCCATGTCCTTTTCTATATGCAAATTTGTTTTATTTGTGATGATTATTAGGTTTTGATCCATTCCTGGAACTCTGAATACACATTTTAGCTGTTGCAATGCTCTATTCCGAGACTTTCTGAGATTTTACATGTTAATATTGTTCCTTCTTCTGGGAGTAATACGCTATTTACATATCTGTCATGTAAATAAACTTAGATTTTTACATATTTATACATGTAACACTTGCATGCATATTCAATTTCATATAAAAATATCATCACTTTTCACATTTGCTCAGACTGAAATGTATCTTTTTAGGCTTATGTTTTAATATGTTGTGATGCTAAAGTGTAAAATATGTAAATATTTAATTATGGTGTTAACTACCTTTTTCTTGTAATGTAATTAAACTAATTACTGGTTACTTATCATTTCATTGCATGGAGTAGTTTACTGACTGTACTGCTCATTTGTTGTCATGAGCCAAGCATGCATTTTGTTTGATATATAAATGATTTTGGTGGGTATTAATGTATAGCAGGTAAATATCTCATGACATTATTATTTGACAATGTTTGTGATTAATGCATAAAATGCATTGATTGAAAATATATTATATTAATTATGATGCTAGATTCAACTAATTAAGCTTGATTAGTATTGTTCCAGTTGTCTAATTATAAAAGAAATCACCAGCATGCATGAAAAGTGCCACATATTAACTTTTGTTACAAATGTAAATATGAAATTTTAATTGGTATGTATGTAAATTTGACAAATTTTGAATTGCAAATTACAAAGCCCACCCTTGTCACATTATAACATGACTGCCACAGCAATTTAATGTTGGGGAAACTGAAACTGAGAGAGGTCAGTCACCTTTTTACAGTTTCTATTAGCTCACACTGAGCACGAAGATATAAATGCCCAAACTTATGAATGCGGTGACAAACTTTTCATCATTCACCCGGTGCCATCTATAGCCCGCATTAAATTTTCCTTTTTTCAGGACCTCTCTGCAAAAATTAAAAATTAAAATAAAAAATTACATTAGGGTCCATATGCTGAACTTAGATTTAGTTTATCAAATGTCTCTTATTATTTAAATGTGCAATATTAATCCCGGAGTTTGTAGATGTGTCAGAATTGTACTCTATTATTTTAAAATTAAATTGTAATAGTCTTCTACATGGAGACTAAAATGATCCCATTTAATTAGTTGGAGACTATTTGGATGCTTAACTTTATTATCTAAATAGTATGTTGGTTCGACTTTAGGCTCGATTGGTTGCTCAATGGTTTCAACATTGCTCTAGATGGCATGCATCTCGAGGTAATTTTCGAGGAGAAAACATTCCAACTTCTCCTGGAACTCTGATTTCAGAAAAATTTGTCAAACTGACCAGCTTGACTAGATGGACTAATCAATACTTAAATTAGTCTATTCCCCACATCAAAACATTAAATCACCTTTGATTATTTTTTTGAGGCATAATTGGAAAGTGAAATAAATTTTAAATAAGACATGCTTATAGTCAGATTAAGCGTCATGGTAAAACAAATCTAAGAAATCCAAGATCTCCTAATTTCGACATCATATAGACATTAGAATGTTCATCGAGCACAATCCGATCAAGGAGATATCTTTGGGTCGTCTGGTCAAGAGTGATCTGGATTACTTCCATATAGAGCTCTACCCCTTCATGAGAAGGGGGACTAGGCAAGCGGAAGTTTAGAGTCCACAGAAACCATAACAACATCATCCATCGCCGGCCACCGCTGCCTTGAAAATATGTTAGTGGTTATGTTATTCAAACATGATCTCAATCAAGATTGATTATTTTGTTATAAGATTATATAAACTATCATTTATTTCTAAAATTTATTTTATTTGTAGAAATAGTCTTAATATATAAGTAAAAAATTATATAATGTACTTTCTTGTTAATGAGTAATTACATTTTAAAACTACATAAAATAAAATTTGATGTCAAACTACAATAAATAAATAAATAAATAAATAAATAAATAAATATATATATATATA